GATTTCTTAGTGAAAATGGAGATCCAGCTCCCATTCCCAATCTAGAAATGACAGACCTACAGGTCAGCAAGCTGCTTTTACTTCACTTCCTTCATTTGGATTTGTTTTCTGTTTCTTTCTGRGCCGTTTATAAGAGCTTTAGTGCAGTTTCCTTGAGGAGCGAAAGCTCTTGTGCCTGCCTGCAAAAGGCTGGCAATTAACTCACAGAAAGAGTAGCCCAAAGGGCAGCATAGCCACAGCTGCTGCAAAATGCATAAGTTGTCGTGGAGCCAGAAAATACCAATTACGTGTCTTAATGCTCGGTGGTATTTGCAGAGGCAATACATTTTGACCCATTTCATGCTACATGATTTGAGATAAAGAGCTGCTTCCTTCTCATTTCTGAAGATAAATGTCTTGGAGAAACGCACCCTTTGAGGATGAGAGGGGAAAACTGAATCCATGCCACCTTTGGTTTGAAGGGGAAATATTTTATGTAGGCTCAATAGTGCAAAATGAATGATGAGTCTTGAAAGCCGAGGAGATTTTGCCATTGAATTTGAGCCTGTTTAAGCTCTAATTTGCTCCCAACACGCGTTTCCTTAGGACCATGCCCCAGGAGGGATGGACCCGTTTGCTGGATTGAACAAGGCCAGTGTCCTTTGGCTTGGGAATGGGCAGCTGTGCCGATGCAGGGGGTGGCTAACAACCCCCACTTTTTGACACCTAAAAATGAAAGAAAAATGAAATGTATGTGCTTAAACCCTGTTCTGAAAGTGTTTTTCACCTGTGATACCATCTTTTTCCTTTCTTCTGGCACACACAGAGTCATTAGGTACACGCGAGATGGGCAGAGTGACTTATTCCCGTAGCAGACGACGTGTCCTGTAGCTTTGCAGCAGCACATCTGAGAYTTCACCGTGCTCCTCGCTTGAAGCTGCACTGCTTTTCATCTTTTGCCCCGTGCTCTTGTGTTTTTGCTTGATGTGGCACTAGAAGCACCTACCAGCAGTTTTATTTTCACATCACCATGAAGTTTTGAAGAGCTGAGAAAAGTCCCCTCCGCGTATACGCTGCTTTTGGGCCAGGCCAGGGGAGTAACAGAGATCATCTGAAACTGCCAGGTGCAGAGGGGCAGATCTTGAGATTTACCAAATCCACCACCTTTCTTTCATCAGGGTATCAGAATGTAGTTTGTTTGCTTGCAAAATGGCAAAAAAGAACATTTTTCTTTTTTTTAATAGAAAAAGAAGAGGAAATATTAAGAATAGATGTGAATTTCAAGTGATTTCTTACATCCTTTTTCTTGATTCTGCCCTCAGTTTCCTTGAATATGTCATTTGGTTTCGAAAGGAGAGATGCCTGCCCTGCCGTTCAGATCTTCCCCSTTCCCTCCTCTTCCTCACTTTTGTGCAAGCTCCTTCTGCCTTTGCCACCAGCTACTTCTCCAGCAGCTCCTTGGAAAGGTTTCTTGGAAGCTTCTCCCAAGGAGAGTTGGCTTCGTGCGATCGCCTGCAGGAGGATGGGGAATGGGGACGGGAAGATGTAGCAACGCTCAGGAGGAGAAGTGCAGGTAGCACCTTATGGATAATAGTAGGTGGAAGAAGGGTAGGACTAGCGGCTTGGAAAAGGAATATAAGCCAAAAGATGCAGTTGAAGTGTAAAATGTTTGCTGTGGCATGCAAACATGAGAAATGCTGTAGCTAGAGCTTGGGATAGAGCTCTGTGCCCCTGTTGTGCTTAAGCATGCTATGGATGGGAGTGAACCATGTGTAAATGAAGAAAACCTAGAAATATATAGATGTTGCAGCTTTAAATACGATATGGTTCTTGCAGTAGCCCAAAAGAGACTGAGGAAGCAACTGCTGAAAGGAAACGTCTTTGCAAATGCAGCAAAGGCAAGGAGACCACAGGTGACTGGTCCTGCTGTGTGAGAGGAGGGACCAAGGAGAGGCAGAGCGGAGCAGGTCACAGTGTTCCCGGAGGCTGCACTTCAGCAGTTATCTTTTAATTTAAGAGCTTTATTCGACACGATTGCTGAACATCATAGAGACAACTGGTCTGCACCAGTAGTTTGAAAGGAGGCCGGGGATGGAGCTCCACAAGGGCTGTGGGGTGGGTCCTGTTTAGTTTGGCCTCTGAGCCGTAAAATAGAAGGTGCCAAACAGGATGCTGTATTTTAACAGGGCTCCGAGATCCGTCACTTCAGACCAGTAAGCATAATAATAATTAAAAGAAAAAAAAAAAGGCACTAATTAACCAAGTGTAGAATACCTCAGAATCAGTGCAGAAGTCTCGGCATCAGAAGTTAAGTCCCGTCTTGTCAGGCTTGCCCAGATCTCTGCTGCTCAGCCCAGAGGGACCCACGCTTAGCTCCAAGGCCTGGTTTGCTCCGTCTTCAGAAGACTCTTGGCAAGTCGCTTTGCCTCACAAATAMCCTGAAGTCATTGCACAGAGCAGAGGGCGATGCTTGGGAGCAGGCAGTAAGGAAATGGACTTGGAGGGAGTTTTGGGAAGGAGATGAATCTTGTCCTGGTCCTGCCAGAGGTKTGCAAGCCTTGCTGGGCTAGATGGGCTTCCACCGAGCAGGTCTTGCCTTGAGAAAGAAAGGGTGTTGGACACATCCTGCTGTGAATATGTGGGAGAAGGAGAGGCAGGAAAAGGATTCCAGGTACTGTCTGATGAGCTGGTCTGCGCAGGGAGGAGCAGGGTCTCCCTCTGCCAGGCTGCAGGATCTGTTGCCCTGGGCTGCTTGGGAAGGGTTAGTGGCTGCAAGAAGCAGTTGGCGAGTGACGGGTGTTCTTGCAGCTGGCGCTAAAGCCGCGTCCCCAAACCGCGCTGGAAAGCGTGTGGGACTGCGGGCAGCAACGTGTTCCCCTCAGCTTGCCAACACTTGCACAGTTCCCAGCCTGTCTCCTCTCGGTCACGGCGGGAGCCAGGTTAGGGCTTGGCCGGTGATGATTTGTAAGCACTTCTAGGGAAACCTGCCCCGGCTGGTGGCCATGTGGCTTGTTAGCCGTTTCCAGCTGTTGCCCACAGAGGTTTTTGGGGAGGTGTCGGGGGGTTGAGTGGTGATGGGGTTTGCTTGTTTCTTTCATAGTTTAGATGCCTCAGATCCATGCTGCGGCAGGAAATAAGCTTGGCAGCTCCACATGGGCACACTCACAGCTCCACATGGGCACGCTTGCACTAACCACCACGGTACAGAAGTGCACCCACAGCATTTGCCTACACACCTGGGAAGAGAGCCCTGCGGACGTGGGCCCTCCTGCCTTGCAAAGCTTGGGCTTTGCTCGGAAAAGCTGCTGCTTTCCCGCTTGGCAGGAAAGCGGGTGGCAGGACACTTGTGGGGACTCTTAGGTTAGGGCGCTCTGTGCAAGTAAACTCCATGTGCTGTGCGGGGTGGCTGCAATAACCTGAACATCTGATGTGCAAAAGGCACCTTGAAAATGTATTTGCTTGCAGAACGCACCGTGCCAGCCTACAAATCAGAGCAATGCAACTGTTCCCGTTACAGTGAATTATGCAGCTCCTGGCCGTGGGGACGGCCTTGTGCCAAGCGAGCTCGGCAGGTCCCTCTGCAAGGCCCGCGTTGCAGAGGAGCTGTTGGCACTTAGTCGTCCCCCTCTGTGTGTCCTTGGGAAGGGTGCCCGGGCGCAGCTTGGGAATGAGTTTGCAGTTCCTCYGAGACTCGTCCCTTGCGGGGTGCCAGCCACTCCTCTCCGTCATCCCGGCCTCGGGCAAGGAAAGCTGAGCAGGAGCATCCTGGCTGCGGAGGRAAGGTGGCCCTTGGCCAGCTGCCTTTGCGGCAGCGCTGCCTCAAGGGCCTTTGCCACGCTTGGGTACTGGGATGCAAGGGGTCTTGGCTGGCTCTTCTGAGGAATTAATGCCTTTCCCTGCCCCATTCCTCCCTGTAGCTTTGGGGCAAGGATGCCCAGGGAGAGCTGGCCCCGTGGGGATGGGGGCAAAGGAGAGGCAGGGAAGATACCCCTGGGGTCACCRTTGCAGGGTGGGAGCCGTGGGTGGATGGGGATTCATGCGGGAGCTGCTTTGGGACAAGGCTGCTGCGAAGCCTCGTTGCCTCCCGTGCGCCCCTTCCTCATCTGCTGCCCACGGGGATGCTGGTGAAGGGCTTAAGGGCGTCTTTTTAGCACTGGCCTCCCAAGCAAACAAAAAGACAAGATGATCTGCCAAGGAAGGGAAGTTYGGAGAGAACGAGTGTTATTGGTGCTGCCTTAATCTTGTCTGTGGCTTAGGAAGTGAGGCTAGAAGGATATTTGCTTTTCGGCCGAGCTTTGCTCTGGGAGACGTCAGGATGAATGTCTTGATACAGAGGAAGAAGATGTAAGTAATAATTTAGGAGTTAATCCAGTGAACTTGGTGTCTGTCCTTTGGTGTGTGTGACACGGTGCTGACTCGGGGTCCTGCAGACGTGAGGACCAGCGGCCTCTCGCCCGTGCAGCACCGGGGGAAACCTCCCCTTCTCTCACTGCGGTTCCTTGGCAGCTGCTCCTCTAAAGCAGCCCTCAAGTTTAAAATACAGCGGTGCGGGCAGTATTTTGAGAGGATCTGTGGATAAAACATTGTGCAGGAAAGAAGCTTTTCCATACCGCTCACTCATACTTCCTCCAGAGAAGGAGGACGTGTCTCTGCCTCTGCTTTGGAGGGGACTTTGTGACACGCTGAAGCGTGGGCAGGAAAACCCTCCTGGAGGAAAATGTTGCTTTTTCTTTCCCTGCACAGTGGGATTTTTATTTCACTGTGTGAGGGACGTCTCCCACTGGGAGGACCTCTCCACCAAGGAGGCCACCAGGATTGGGTGAGCAYGCAAGTGACTGGCTTGTTGAGATTGGGTTTCTGGCCACCAAGGAAGGCCATTGCTGTAAGCAAAACTTGACTCATTCTTTTTGGGTGGGCATTTGTGCAGACAGAGTGCCTGTCCTATATAATACTTGGTTATCTCCAGGACCATGTGTTTCTTCTGTAATAACATTTCTCTCTCTTTCTCTCTTCTTTTGCAGGTGTTTCTTCAGCTACTCAGTAAGTCACCAAACTGCTGTATTTTGGAATATCCTGCCTTAACCCTTTGAAGAAAATTTGCCAATAGCCAAAAATGGCTTGAGCTGGAAAACTGCTGCTTTATCCAACAGGTATTATATATTGGCACTTCAGAGGTTCTCTAACATCACTGCTTGCTTGCAAGGGCTTGTCCAAGGGGGAGTTGCTGCCAGTGTCTTTCTGGGAAGTGTAACCGCCTGCATATTTTGTTCTATCTGCTGAGCACTGAAAGGCTGCACTTCATTTCAGGCCTTTTTGCTAGGGAGTAGAGCACTGCTGGAGAGGCATGTGGGGGGATCTGCAGACTGGCTCCTTTCCAGAGAGCTTTCTCTTGGCAGCTGGAGCTGTCTGCTAATGCCAGGTCAGGTTCTTGCTTTGCTTTCTCAGGGTAACATATCCGAGAAAAAATATTTGCCAAAGCACAGCTATGAAGGCCAAATACTCCTCAAACCCTCCTGTGAGTTAATTGGCTCCTAGCAGCTGGTTAATAAGGTTTCACACTGGGAGTGCCTCAGCCCACGGCAGCTTTGCAGAAGTTTCCTATGAAGTCACCAGATGCATCAGCACTGAGTGGTGAAACTCCCAGTGTTGATGAYCTCATGTTTTTTCTTCTTCCCCACAGTTGGGTGCTTCTTTATTTGCAGACATCACTCTGTTTGTGCCTGTGAACAAGTGGAAACTGAGTGCTGGAAATGCCAGTGGTGGCATGTGGGGTTTTGACTATCTGGAATAGGTTGATGGAAGCAAAGCAGAGACTTTTCCACTTTTGACTGATGTGTTCCTTCCTCCCAGGACCAGCTTCATGCCCTGTCCCCTTCGGATGCACCGTACACTATGGTTCACATCAATGTGCTGAAGAAATGTACGTGTGTTCTYGTGGTGCTGCTGGTCGCTCTGACTGTTTGCCTGTGGAGAGAGACGAGGAGGAGCTACTATGTTCCCTTCAAGACTGACAGTGATGATTTGCAGGTTCCCAGGACTTTGGGCAAGTGGACCGTGGTTAAATCACAGGGCTTTTTCCATGAGGCAGCTTTGGTCAGTAACCAGAATAAGGTGAAGGGCATGGTCTCTGTGTCAATGGAAAAGTCCAAGAAAGCAGCAGACTCTGTGAAGGTGTGGGATAAGGACAGTTCATCCAAGAACCTCATCCCCAGGCTGCAGAAGGTCAGAAAGAACTACTTGTCCATGAACAAGTACAACGTGACCTACAGTGGGAAGAGGAACGCTGTTAAGCTCAGCCCAGAGAAACTGCTCTGCGAGCTGCGTGACAGGGTGAATGTGACGATGATCCAGGGATCAGATGATCCATTTAATACCTCTATATGGCAGCAGTTCCTACCAAGGAGAAGCCTCAATGAAACAGTGGGCCGCCTGGGACGCTGTGCTGTTGTGTCCTCAGCAGGATCTCTGAAATCATCTCATCTGGGACCAGAAATAGGTTGGTTCTTTTCTGTTAGAATAAAGTCAGCTAGGATTGTCTGAAACCATACATTGAACAGGAGGGGGTCTGTGGTCACACTCCTACTGCTAAATAGTTTAGCCGCAGAGATGTTCAAATAAGTTAAAATATCGTCCAAACTCTCCTATAGTTAATGAACRTTGTAGGAAGAGATGGGAGTAATTAGGTACAACCTAATTTCTCTAAGGCTCTGTCATGCTTTGGTGCTGTCTGGATCACAGTGCCGTTGAAGAGTTAGACCTGGGGCTAAACGTGGCCATAACAGCTCTCATAATCAACCCCGGGTGACAGCAACTGTCTCTTAGTGATAAAAATAAAATGGATTTTAGTACAAAGAAGTTGCAGTTTCAGCTCCGGAAACTTGGGAGGTTTTGGCTGTGTTATAACACTTTCCTCCCTCACGAGGGRAACAAATATTTACCCAAGTAGTCAAACCCCAAGGGTGTCGAGGGGACTGGGTTTTGTTGAGAGGACTTAACTTAGGTATTGATATTTTCAACTGAATAGTGTACACCTTTGAAATCTTCTTTTGATCCKTGTGGTGGTGTTGACATTAGATTCAGCAGATACTGGAAGTCAGGAAAATGCCTTGTGTTTGTTTCTGGAGAGGGTGTGGGGTGGGTTGAGGAATGGCCTTGGCTCTCATCTGTGGCAGACCAGCAGCTTCTCAGCAGGAAAACATTCTTCAGAGGATGAAGTAAAGGAAAACGTCAAAGGGAAAGGCCCCTGGAAATGCCTGAAAACCCAACTGGACACRGTCTGCTGAGGCTGACCCTGGTTTAAGCAGCTATTGGGGCTRCTTTCCGAGCATGGCCACGTTGTGACCCTGTTGATCACGGGTCTCGAGAGTGGCCCTGCAGGGTGCCAGTCCCAAGCCACGAGGCAGCGGCTGAGTTTGGGTGGCCCAGAGGCCAAGGTTGCCTTGGTTTGCTAAGCGGTRGGGTGGCCTGCAGCTGCTGCAGGTTTTCAGGGTCACAGCTTTAGCACTATATCTTTTAGCACTGCAGAGATGGCTGTGCAAGCAGTTCCTTGGAATTTGATTCAGGTGGGTGCTGCTATTACAGCAGCAGAGTTTAGCTCCTGCCTTTAGGGCCATGCTGAGGTGTCTGCACTGAAGCTACCTCACTGTTTCAGAGTCAGTTCCTTCCCAGCTCAACCTATAGAACAGGAGGTACTTTAACCATCAGGATAAGACTGTCCCATGCTTAAAGGTAGGGCTAATTACAGGAGAAAGCTTTAGGGGGTGCTAGAATGAGGTTGAACAGTCTCGGGAGGGTGTTACAATAGATAGATGGTATGAAAAAGACAGCAGCRATATTAACCAGGAGAGGGATTGCTCGTGACAAACCGACAGCTGAGAGTTGATTAACATTGTCAACCATAGAGGCTTCTTAGAGCATGCGAGGCCAGGTAGGTCAAGGCTTGGGAAGTCAGTCATGACTTTTTCCCTGAGTGGCTCTTTTGGATCGTTGAGGTGAGATGCCTCTTGAAGCTGAATAGATAAAATTTTCTCCAAAAGTGACCCGAATCTTTTTGGTTTAATTCACAATGATGCAGCTGAGACACAGCTGCCTTGATTGCAAAGGCATCTTYGATAGACTCCTGCATATTGCTCCTCCAAAGCAGGATCCTTTCAGGATCCTCAGATGTTGGGGCTTTGTTTGYTTGCTTGTTTGTTTGTTTGATAGCAGTGTGTTTGTCACTGTGGATAGTCTCTTGGTCTGTCTTTTAAACCAAAGAACCAGATTGTCCCATATCACCGTGGATGGATTCCTAAAAGGTAGGATTAAGGTTCTGTAACAATAACCACACAACTTCTCTTTGTGGACACCGTTTGTATTTGGAAGCATCACTCTTAAGGCTTTTCCATGTTGCTTTGGAAGGGTCCCAAACAAGATCCGCTTGTCCATGAGAGTAAGTGGCTGAGAAACTAGTCCTCCCTGCAAGCAGTTGCTCTTCCTCCAGGACCGCTCAGGTGATCGACCCTTTCTTCCTAAAAATGGTCAAGATATTGGTCAGACAGTTCYACAGCTGGTTTGGGGCAGCACAAGMAGTTTTGCAGCATCTGAGCTTCTCCACTGCTGGTGGAGCAAGCTGCGGTTGAAGGGTCCACCACATGAGCGCGGGGAGGCTGTGGGTGTAAGCAAGTGGGTACATGTGGTTTCCTATGTGAGTTTAGGCAGCAGGTCTGGAGCAGGGTGAAGGACACCCTTCCTGCCAGAGCAGCAGCACCTCGGACCTGAGCCACGGGTGCCAGCACCATGGGTGACTGTGGGTGCAGAGGAGGAAGCTGGGGGCATGTCAGCCGAGGAGGGTGCAGCAGGTCCCAAAGCTTGGCACAAGCTATGCTGTCAAATACGCAGGGTTTCTTTGCTGGGTTTATTTGGACAATGCGGGAGATGTGGTGACAGGTAGAACCAACTCCGCTTGCAGCTGGAGTTGAGCGTGCTCCTCAGGCTGGTCTTCACCCAACTGCAAGGGAGGCCCCTATTTTTCCATTATTTCCTGCTTCCTCATTTTGCCGCCRGCCATGTGGAAATGAGATTTATCTTAATGTATGAATCACAGCATGGTTGAGGTTGGAAGGAACATCTAGAGATCATCTAGTCTACCCCCCTTGCTCCAACAGGGTTACCCATAGCACGGGGCACCGGGTGGCATCCAGGTGGATTGGGAAGACCTCCAGAGAAGGAGACTCCACAGCCTCCCTGGGCAGCCTGTGCCAGGGCTCTGGCACCCTCACAGTGAAGCAGTTCCTCCTCACATGCAGATGGAACTGCCTGGGTTTCAACTTGTACCCACTGCCCCTTGTCCTGTCACTGGCCACCACTGAGAATTTGGCCCCATYCTCTTTATGTTCTCCCCTCAGGTATTGGTACGTATTGATCAGATCCCCTCTTATTCTTCTCTTCTCTAGACTGAAGAGGCCCAGCTCACTTAGTCTTCCCTCGCACGATAGATATTTGAGTCCCTTAACCATCTTTATAGCTCTGYACTGGACCCGCTCTAGAAGCTCCACGTCCTTCTTGTACTAGGGAGGACGTTGCCCTCCTCTGTGCACTGTAGGTGTTAGGGCTGCATTCTTGCCTTGTGAGCTGGTGGTATTTTTAAAAGCAAATTTTAAAATATTGCTCGTGAAGTTAGGCCAAGAGCTTCTTGCACAAGGCCTGGCTTGGTATTTCCAGTAGTTACATGGGAAGTCTTCTGTGACTGCTCAGGTTGTATTGGAAATACMTGAGTAACTTGCTGCCTGTAGCCCTCGTGTCTCAGAAGGAAACTGTTTTCACTGTTTTTTTGCTTACAGACAGCCACGAYGCCGTCTTGCGGTTTAACGGGGCTCCTACCAAGGGATTTCAAGAGGATGTGGGGGAAAAGACAACAGTCCGTCTTGTTAACTCCCAGGTGGGTCTAACAAATGCATGGTGAAGAGACTGAGCTCAGCAGAGCTCTGCTCATCCCCTCCATCTGCTGGGAACTGGGTGGCAGACTGGGCTGGCAACATCCACCTCTGCTCCTGGAAGCTGCTCTTCACCTACCACTAGGATTTCTTTAAAGTGAGATCGGTGAAAATAAGGGTTTCCGTGCAATTTCTCTTCTCCCTACCAGATATGTATAGCATGGGCCTCTGACCTCCCTTGTGAAGGGCAGAGCTTTTTCCCACCACTAAAATGTGTGCCGAGGTCACTGCGGGGAAATTGCCATGTGCTGGCTGGTCTGCATTATCGTGTTTGCCATTTACTGCAACTTGGGGCTTGGCCAAAATGCTCTTTCCAAGGTTATGAAGCCCCGTTGTGTGCTTGCTGCTGTGCTATGGGCATGCAGGGCACAAGAGGCCAAGCAAACTCAAGCGTCTCAAGAGGTGAGTTGGGGATGTGAGGGATGGATGTGAACACCCAAAGGTCTTCATTTGCTTTAAAAAAAAAAAAAAAAAAACCTCTGTTTTACACCACAAGCCCTGTTTCAGGCCCTGTGGATGACACAAGTTAAGTAACTGCAGATACCTGGCACTGTCTGCCATAGCCTGCACAAAGCCACGTGTATGAGCTCTTGGGTGTCCCCCTCCATCCAGGCCCTTGGAGCAGAGCACGGCAGAAAGCWCCTGGTAATGCCAGAAACCCCTTCCAAAGTGCAGTTTTCCCAAGCTCTTTGAGAGCTTTTCCCCGAGGTGAGGCACTCTGTGCTGATCCAGCTTGTGACTTCAGCAGGCTTTGAAGCACATCCTCAGTTCATAAGAGCCAAGTTCAGCAGTTGTTCTCCCAAGTTCTTCCCCTTGCCGCAGGGGCTGTGCTGCACATCACAGGGGGCTGCCATGGGGCAGAGCCTCCAAACAGAGCTGAAGGACAACTTGTGTTTGGGGTGGGAAGGCTGTAGGGTTCCTGGTTGGGTTGGCTGCCAAGGGAGGTGGAGGGTACTGAAACGGGTACCACGGATGGGCAGGCTGTGTTTAGTGCCCATGTGACTCATTCTTWTTTTGGAGTTGGCTTTTCTTATGTTGGAGGTGGTGACTGGGGGCAAAGAGGGGTGTATGTATTGGCTTTTCTTATGTTGGCTCCTATTATTGATCAAGCTGCTCCTAAAATGAAGAAAACAAGATATCCTGAATCGAACTTGTCAAAAACAGACGGTGTTCAATAGTATCCCTGTGGCTCGTGCAGGAGCCAAGGAGACCCAAGTTGCTTAGCAAATATTTTCATGTAACTTTATGTACTGAGCAAAACCAAACAGATCAGGGAGCGGTCCCCAGTTGCTGACCAGTCTCTAGCAAATGTTGGAATGGGGGGAAATGGCTTTAGTGGTGGTGAGACGTCTTCTGCATCTGTGTTCAAAGGGRAAGGTTAATAGACTGGTACTAGAAGAAGAAATTTGTGATTCTGTGTTTGAGGAGAATCTTGGTAGGAAGTTCAGGCCTGGAAGTTTGTCTAAATAAAGAAGTTCTTCAGCAATTGCTTTTGATCTTCTCTGGTACATCTGTGTTGCCTCTTTTCATGGCATTTTTTTCTTGCAGTCTAAAGCAAGACAGACTTTCCCTGGGACAGCGTTGGCATCCTGCAGGAGCAAGGCTGGGATCTGAGGGGCAGGCGAGGCAGCACCGCTGCGTAGCGCTGGGAGCCTCTCGGCAGGGCTCGGGAAGGAGCCTGGTATCTGGTTCCTCCAGCCCCACTTCGAGCCCATGGTGGCCCCATGGGGCGCATGCCTGGCCTGGCTGCCTTGCTATCTGGAGGAAGCAAGAGGAAACAGGGACACAGTGCAGGGAAAGGGGCCTCCGTTGGGATTACGGGACTGCAGGAGCACGTCTGATACAGGCCATGAACRCAGTGGGAAGGCAGGTGCTGCATTAGCAACGTGTTTGCTAAACAGTGAATTGTCTAAATACCCAGGTCTAACCAGGAAGCCCCTGAATTACTTACCTGATTCAGATCAGAACAGCTGGGAAAGACAAATGAGTGAGGTTGCCATCTGAATGGCATTTAACGGGTTGCTCTTAAGCAGTATAAATGGGCACTAATGGTATCCAGTGAGCCAGACTACTGGTAATTAAACCGATGCTACAAAGATCCACCCTATTTCTCGCTCCTCTGCTATGGGCAGCTCACAGGGTTCCTCTGCTAACTCAACATGCTTGCACTTGGTCTGCCTTTCCTTATAACGTTCCTTTCCTTGATGGCACATGCTCCATATCCCTTGAGGCCTCCTTTTGCATCAGCCCTTTTAGGTTTGTTTTATTTTATTTATTCCAGGAAAAATTCCTGGAAGGTTTCTAGCCTCTAAATAGAAACAAGGGAGTGCAGAGGAAACGCTGATGCTCTGGCTCTGTTTCCGTGCTCCGTGCCCCGCTGGCCGCCTGGCTCCCGCCGCACTTCCCGCATCCCACGAGCGCGTGGTTCACACCCCARACTGCAGCACGGAGGCAGATACTCGGCCAGTGACCCAGATACTTGAACTGCYGAGAGGAAATGAAGCCGTGCGGTCCCCGGGATAATCCTGTGGGATTGAGAGCAGATGCAAGGGGCGTTTGGCGCAGGGGACCGCGCGCATCCGGGCGGCCGCGTGCCATGGGGAGCAGGCACCGGCCCCCTGGGTGCTTAGGGATAAATTGCCTGGCTCTTAGATCCTAGGAGAAAAGCAGGATGAGCGGGAGTTGGTGTTTATGACAGTGCTTCTCTTMAGCAGATGTTTGCAAGCTGTGTTTGTACAGGCTGTGTTCATGGGAAGAGGTGACAGGGGACCAGCCCCGTCTCCCTTCGTTCTCGCTGGGTTTACTTTCTGCTGCAAACCAGAATTAGCCGGCGGTGTCAAGAGCCGTGCTGCTTGTGTCCAGGAGATACCTAAGGCATACAGGGTGTCTTTATCTTGTTTTATTTATTTTTTTTTCAAAATTATTTTTGTTATCTCATTTATTGTGGAGAGCTCATTGTGCTCGGGGGCTGGTGGGGCAGTTTCTATTGGCCACAGCTCTTGCCTGGGTGATCTGCTGTGATGCTGCCCCTGTGTCCCCGCTGCACCCATGGGCTCACGGCCCCTATGCTGGGCTTATTTGYGCACTGGGGCCAGCTGAGCGTCAGCAGCTAAATTTGGGGATGTTTTACTGCTCCTGCTTACCTGGCAACACACCAAACCTGTATGTGTGTATCTGTCGTTGCTGTTCAAGCTGGTGACCGTGGAGGAGCAGCAGTTCCTGAYGGACGCGCTCTACAACGCTGGGACCTTGATCGTCTGGGACCCGGCGCCGTACCACGCGCCCGTTGGGGAGGTAAGGCTGCGTCAGCACCGTCAAGTGAGGTTCACAYGGGGCGCCTGGCACCCCGCGTCCTGCCGACGCGCACAGGCACTCGTGTTAACACCACGGGCTGCCTCCCTGCCACAGCTGTACCCGTAAGTACCTCTGCAGACACTCACCATGGGAGTGTGTCCAACCTGCACCCCTCCAATGGCTGGGAACATGTCCCCAGTGCCACATTCCCAGGGCTCCCACCACAAAAAGGGCACCAAAAAGCTACTGCAAAACCACCCGGGAAGCCTAAGCTCCTCTTTCTACCTGTTGTCAGCAGATGCTGGGGTAGCTCAAGGCGCTAGTCAGACGTGAGAGACTCGATGGGTTCTGAAAGGAGTCGCAAAGCCTCTCAAGATCTCGCTGCGTGTGCCTCCTCCTGTCAGCTAGAGTGTCACATGTGGGTGGTGTGTCCCTCTGGAGTTGCCTCCGCTCTCTTGAGTGCACGGGGTGTTCTGTGGTTACTGATAAGCAGCAGAGGCTGATCCGGAGCACGCTGAGCTAGGAGGGAATGGGCCCAGCCCTGCCGTGGTTCCAGGCTCTCCCCGTGCCCGGGAGGTCTTGGCCAGTCCTCTCCCTGCACTGACATTGCATGTTTTCTCACCAGCACTTATCCTTGCATCCCGTTCCATGTCTCCAGGAGATGCAAGGTATTTGCACTCTGTTTAAGAGCGAGTTAAATGGGARGGGCCTATTTTTAGCATAGGGGGAAACCTCTAGAGGACTTCAAGAAAACATAAACCCTTGCTCAGTGTTTTTACTGAAAGTGGAAGTGTTGTGAGGTGCAAATTGGTTCAGCCGGTTCTGTAAGGCTGTTGTGATGAYGCCTGCATCTGAACAGGATCTGAACTACTGCAAGGGGCAAGGGCTCTGATGGCATATTAGGCAGACCGCAAAACACCTCCTGGGCTGGGCTGGGTGGGCTTGGGGATTGGTCTGTTATTTATTTGTTTTTGTGGTGCTGGTAAGTTTTCTACTCTTTCATCTTGCCGTGATTTCCTACTCTATCCCCGGCTGCAGTAGCTACATGGTCAGCCTGATCAGGCAACTCCGCTGGTTCAAATGTTATTTCCAGGTTTWATTTATTTATATTTTTAAGACCGAGCCATTGCTTGGTGCAGTTCACAGCACAGTTGCCCGCAATTGTGTCGRTGCAGCTGTGGGCTCTGGTTAGAGGGGAACCAGCTGCAGGACCGGCTGTGTGTTGCCTGGGGGAAATGTGGAAATGGGGCTGATATTTCTAACAAAATGACAGCAGTGGTTAAAACATATGTGAGACTGATCTCATTTTATGGTCCCTCGCTGCCCAGGAGGAGTTTTGGTTCCTCCTGCTCTCTTTGCCAAGGTGAGTCACCTTGCTAATTTGAAGAGCAGATATGGGAAGGAGAGAGGCACTAATGTTGGGGATACACAGAGCTGGACCTCCTCCTTGGAGGCAGCAGCAGCTTAGGTTGTCTTAAACACTCTTATATAATATATATTATGGGAAACAAAAGGCCTTGACTTTTTCTTTCTTTTTTTTTTCCAGTGGTACAGAAAACCAGACTACAAATTCTTTGAAAACTACAAGAAGTATCGCATGAAACATCCAGAGCAGCCCTTTTACATCCTGCATCCAAAAATGCAGTGGCAACTCTGGGATATTCTTCAGGAGAACTCCCTGGAGCACATTCAGCCGAATCCACCTTCCTCGGGAATGCTTGGTGAGACAATAACCCCGTGCCACTGCTTACCCAGTTTGCAGGAAGGCTGTGCCTGTTTTAAAGATAACCATGGGTTTATGTTGCTTGAAGCCAAAGAGCTTATCAAAGTTGCTTATGCAGTGCTTGTCTTATGCGAGAAATCAAGCTTCCTTTGTTAAAAGGAAACTCATTTGTTAAATTGCTGCTGTTAAAAGCAGCTCATTTGTGTTAAATTAAGCAGTTTGCAGCAGCCCTTGAAGGAGCAGTTGTAAACATGGTTTGGCTCCACGTGGAAGCATGAGAAACAGGCTGTGACCTCAAGCTGCTTCCTAGCACGTTTAGCTTCTGGAGGCAGAGCATTGTGCAAGGGGTGCTGAGGGGAAGGATGTGGCTCGTGTGGGCTCAGACCTTGTCAGGCAAAGAACTGCTTTGGATAAAACCAGTCAGGCAAAGCCTGCTGTGGGTAAAACCTGGGTGTTTACCTGCTGTGTATTTAGTTAAAGACATAATGGAGGGCTGGGGCTGAGCAGACGGAACAGTCMCCCTGAGAAGGTCAGTGCAGTCCCCCTTACTCAGCATGCTGATCTTGCTCATCCGCATGCTAAATTCAGCCGCCCCGAGACACGGCTCGTTTTACACTGTGCTGCTGCAAAGCTTTTCCTTCCTGCTGGAAGGCAAATCTCATYGTCAGCTAAATGAAGAGCAGAGAACTCCTTGGGACCAACAGGTAGCTGGAATGAGGGCATAGTGCTGTGGTCTTGTKCATGGGGTCTTGTTCAGACTTCAGCCCTTGCTCTACTCCTGTCTCGAGATACCTGCCAGAGGAGTGGACACACACATGGACRTGGGTGCAAACAGAGGAACTTCCTATTTCGGCCAACTAAACTTCTAGTTTTCTTCTTTGGTCTTACCTACCACCTCTTATCACCTTATCTTATCACCTGTTAAATCTTTCCTTGGATGTGTGCAAGACAATAGCATAACAGCACAGTCACTGACTTGAGGAAAATAATCACTGAGAAGTGAAGCAGKGGCTCAAAGGCAGAGCTCTGGCCCAGTACTCACAGCAGATTCCTCTGTGGCTTAACTTGGGGCCAATTTATGCCCTTGTGGAAACAAGTGACCACGATGGACACAAGGGAAGAAACCCAACTTCTGGCTTGCAACCCTGGGTTTCTTGGAAGGATGAGTGGAGAGGCAAGTAGTTATCTGAAAAAGTAGATGAAAATGTTTTTAAAATGTGCCTTAGTTTAACAAGTGGCCTGAAAAATAGGTTTCAGTCATGTCTTGTGAATTGGGTGTTCCTGAAGTYTCTGAGATGGTGCATGAATTTTAAAGAGCTATTTTATGTTGGTTCTGTTTCCCTGTCATGTTCTTGGTAGTTCTTGCGCCCTGGTTAAGCAGGCAGTAAATATTGCCTCTTTCTGTGAACTTTCTGGCCACAGTTGTGTGTGACRTGGGCTCCGCAGTGGTTAGTGTGACTCTTGGAAGACACAGGAGGGCAGCACTGCTCTGTCCCGGGGAATCTGGATGAGCTTGAAGAGCAGCTTAATGCCTATGTGCATTTATATCAAGACCATTTCCAAGCATCGTCGCTTTTGTGTCTTCTGTATTAGCTGTGGGCAAATGGGAACAGATGAAGGTCTCGTTTCTGCTTATCCGAGCAGATCTGAGGTGGGCAATTAGCATCAGCTAATGTAGCCTACAACTGGCAGATGCCCAAGTCTCCATGAAGGTCTTGGAAGATGGCAGCAGTCTCAAATGTTGGCCTTTAGCAGTGGCTGTCTCTGTAAACTTCCTGCTTTACTCAGACTGATCATAGGCTTTGCAAGAGGATGTTGAGCAAATAGCCCCATCAGACTCACTATTTTCTTTCTGTCTGGTCTGAACTTTCGGAAAGGAAGCCTTTCTCATTGGGCTTGGACCCTTCTTGCTTGAATGTCTTGTCCCAGCTAGGTGTAGCTAGTTCTGCGGGTTTAACTCTGCGTGTCCATTTTCCTTCCCTCCGTAGGCATTGTCATCATGATGTCCCTCTGCGACCAAGTGCACGTGTATGAATTCCTCCCCTCCAAGCGGCAGACGGACATCTGCCACTACTACCAGAAGTTCCACGACCGTGCCTGCACCATGGGGGCCTACCACCCGCTGCTCTTCGAGAAAAACCTGGTGAAGCACATCAACCAGGGCACGGACGAGGACATCTACACCCACGGCAAAGTCACCTTGCCCGGCTTCCGAAATGTACATTGTTAACAAATCACTCTGTGCTGTGGTTAGGCCTTTGGTTTTTTTTTTTCCTTTTTTAAGCACTTTTTAAATCAGGGTTGTCGAATTTATTAGGTCTCAACACTGGTGAGTTTTGACAGCTCTTCCATATTGCAACACCTGCTCTTAAGACTTCTGTTGCATGCAATCCTTGGACTTTAGGCCCTGTAAGGCGTTGCGGTACGTCCGTTTGGGGGGTTGTGGGAGCCACTGCAGTAGGTTACTCCTGGAGGAGCCAGGCTCACGTGGCAGATGGATGTCACCATCTCAACCAAGGAGGGTGAACACGAAACCCAGGAGACGCTTTCTAAGCAGCRGTCACCCCATTCTGGATCAAATACTGATGCAGGTCAGGCTGCTTCAAAGGGATTATGACAAATGACAACCTGGTCCACTTAAGAACAAGAAAAAAAAAAAAAGCTTAAAAACTTGATCCTGGAGGTGTTTGGAGCAGGGCCGACTTATGGAAACACTGTCAAGGCTGGGTACTGATAAGCTAAACTCTTAGTCCAAAATACTTGATTTTATAAACAGGTAGAGCAACTGTGGCAACTTTCTTTCCAATGTTAAGACCTTCTGGAATCATGCTGGTAGCTTTAGCAAGTGGAGGGGAAGGCAATTCACAAACAGTGATTCGTGTGAGATATTTTAAAACTTTTTACTTTGTTTTTTTTTAAATCATATAAAATAAATTTATGTGAACATTTACTTTTCCATTGGAGTGTTCTGCTTGGTAGGGCCCATTTTTGAAACATTTTGGGGAGACATTCCCCAAATGGGGATGTCTGTTTTGTGCCCAAAAGGCACAATGGGAGCCTAAGGCAAGCTGGTGCCCCAGTGCCACTGTACAGCACCTTGGGGCCACYCTGGTGCTGTGGTGGAAGCAGCCCCTCCATGGGCTCCATGCACATGTGAGGAGCATGTGCATCCTCAGCTGACCTGCTGCATTTTGTCATTGTCTACAAAAGCTCTTCAGTTTTGGGTAAATCCTGTGAAGTTGTTGGCCCATTTTGGCCTTGCTGAAACTACTGCTTGAACCCCAAGAGACTCGTGACAGGCTTGCACCGGAGCAAGCAGCGTTGGAGCTGGAGCTCCTCATGTTCCCAACTCTAAGAGACAGCAGCTCTTTGCCCATGTGGTGGTGGGACCACRGCTCTCCTGTGAGCTTCCACCTGCAGCCACCCCATCTCACAAGGAGAGCAAGCCCTAAGACCACCTTTCTGCACGCTCTTTCTCAGTTATGTGGTCAGGTAGTGCTGCCCTGGGCACGACATGTGCAACGTGAAGCTAGGAATCTTGGCCAGGCCCAGTGCTTGATCAGCTGGTGCTCTAAATAGAGCTTTTACAGGAATTAGGGCAGAGCTTAAAATAGACCAGTGATAGCCCTTGTTTTGTTTGCTGGCTGCATAGATACAGATCTCGTATAAGGAAGTATCTCGTATAAGTGCAAGTCGAGTGTGGTATTCAGAAGAGCCAAGTTTAAGTTGCTGGGCAATAACAGGCCCTTACATAAGTTTTGTGCCTCCTGAAGTCTCTCCTGAAACTGCTTCTGATGTGATGTTTTCTCTCCATGTATCATGCGGCCGTTTCCACATAGCCATTTGAAGCACCAAGTCCMCAAAATACGTTCCACAACATTGTGTGGAGGAGGCGGGGAAAGGCTGGCAAGGCTGGAGATGTGGGAATGAGAGCATGGTGCCTTTCTTTGATGCAGAAGAAGACTATTAAGAATTACTAAAGTCTCCTGACAGTCATCTGAATAAAAGGGAGAAACAGAAAGGGAAGAGCGTCTGGGACACTGCAGCAGCACTACTGAGGTGTCCCAACTTGGGTTTTAAACTTGATTTTATCCAGTATTGTACCCCGTTGACCAGCTCTACTTGCTCATGCACAGCAAGGCTGTTGCAGGAAGACATGAGCTCAACCAGGAAACATTTTYGAGATGTCTCCTCATGGGGACATGCAGGTGGCCTGGCTCGCACRTGTGAAAGCCTTGCAGATTCAGATKTTAAAAGATTACTCAAAAGAAAAAGCTGATACTGTAAAACTAGTGATGGTTCYTGGAGAAAATTGCAGCATTTTAGAAAGCTTTGGACCATTCAATGCCTTTATTTATTTACTTATTAATAAGGCAGTGGAAACTATACTGTGATGCTAAGATATAAAATGAAAAGATTTCTCCCTCTTAATGAATAAACCCACTTTACAAGAAAACAACAGTCTTCAATATACCCACATGCAATAAAGAGCTGTGATTATCCAGGTTGAACACTGCACCTGCAGCCCTTTCTTCCTCTTTGCTTTGGGTTTATTAGGGAATGGTGGCCACATGTGCTCGGGTTTGATCTTGTAGCAGCCACAGCTGAAGAGAGGAGGTAAGAGCAGCTGTTGGAGGGCTTCTGTCTGCTATGGAAAATATATAGGCCTTCCAAAAAAAAAAAAAAAATCAGAAAAAAGAAAAAAAAGAGAGAGTGTGTCTCGTTACAGGTAGAGTAATGTTGGGCTGTGTTTTCTTTGAGGGAGGGTTTTCATCATCAGGAGTGGCAAAATTGTTTTTCTGTTTGTTTTTTTTTACAGAAGAGGTGGGAAAACAGGTGTATATAAGGTGTGTATGCATGAACTGAGGGGGGTCTTGGCTTCCTAAGAAGGATATAATGTCCAGGTGAGCACATGGAGGGTGGCCCAAGGCGGGAAGGAGCCTTGGGAGACGCTGGGCAGCACTGAGTTGGCAGTGGCCGTGCAGGTCTGAGGTGCCCTGTGTGAATGAGCCCGTTGGGGCCTGTCAAGGCTGTGGCCATGTCTGACGTGTCTGTGGTGAGGAGCAGCCCCCTCGGCCCCAAACATGGGCCTCTTCCGAAGGCAGCGCTTGGCAGGGGCAGGATGGTCTAGTTTGTGGCTTGTTTTTGACCCGCAGATGGAGAGAAACAGGTAAGTGACCCTCTGGGGTCTGTAGGGAAATGGTTGCTGGTTTGGAGCTAAAGAGGCCTTGGAAAAGGGAGACCTGTCTGGAGRGTCTGTCCTGGAGCTTCTCCTACACTTAAGACTCTGTTATTAGACTTCATTGAACGTACAAWGAATCGGGGGAAAAATGAAGTAACAAAAACCTTCAAAATCTCTGCTTTGTTGTGGGGTGGAGGGTTGCGTGRGTGTTTGCAAAGATGGAAGAGCGAACAGGGAAAAACTACCCCGAGGAATGGTCTGAAAACAACGTACATTTGATGCAAATAGCTCTGTGGAAGCCAAGGAAGCTTCAGTCCTGTAACAGTCGTGATGCTAAAGTCTTCAGTTGTGTTCATTTCCTGAGGAACCTTTGGTACGTTAGCCAGCRCATGGTGACAAGCAGATGCATCTACCTCCAGCAGCTGCTTTTAAGCTTGAGAGTCCTGGAGCTGACAGAAAACCCCCACTCTACTGCTAAGGAGACACTGAGAGCGGTTTCCATGTGCTATAATAATGGGTATAGGAGAAGGGYGTGAGGGAAGCAGCAGAGGGGCTTGTCCGAAGGCCCTTCCAGGAGGCAGCTCTGTTTTAAGCCCAGTTGGTTGTTAGAGAATTTTGCAGATATTTTAGAAACATCCCGTCAATCAGTTGGAACATCTACTTCAAACCCCAGTTTTGTAAATCAAGAAAAACCCCTTCTGGTTTGGTGCTATTTGTATAGGCCTCATGAATTGGGACTCGAGCAAATTTAAGGAAGTGGATGGAAGGTATTTGACATAGCTTACTTAGAACTGAGACATTCAAAGCTGTCTGAACAAGAAACATCTTTATCTTATCAAACAGGAGTGTTGTGCCAGATAGTTTGGGTGTGCCAGGTTAATTTTGATCTGTATTCTAGAGAAGCTTTTTTTTTCCTCATTTATCTTAGTTAAGAGCTCTAACTGACATAAATAGGTACAGTAGTCTCTTATCTGTACTTTTCATAATGCAGACACTAGACTTTACTTGCAGAGAAGGCTCGGTGGGTGACTTTGGCAGTGAGATAGTGATTTAGCAGTCTTGTTCTTGAGTGGGATGCAGTTATGCAGTTACGGATATGTGAATCCCAGAGCACGCGTGAGGTGCATGTTCAGCTGGTCTCCATCTCTGTGACGGTTCATGGTCTCCATCCACTGACTTTGGGCATGTGGAGAGCTTTTGCTGTCCATTGATTCAAAGACTTGAGTACATTTTGAAGCTTGAGTTCTCCTAGACTTTTATTTATATTTTAACCCTTAATTATCTACATTGTCCTACGATGGGAGGCCTGAATTCATCAACAGTTTCCCTATAACATTAGTTGTCCATAAATCTGTCTGAAAAAGAGGCAATACAAGACTCTGATCTAACCAGGATGTACTAGTTATCCCTTCATTTGGATCTTGACATATATATATTTTTTCTGCATTTGAGCTGGACATATTGGTTTAGCTCAAACGTGGAGACTTTAGACTGGATTATAGCAGCAAAGGGCCACGAGCGGAGACCTCATCTTTGTCAAGCATGGGTGTTGAGAGGTTATTATAGGTTGGTCTTATCATGTGCAATGGAAAAAAAGATTGTGAAACCTTCTGCTGAGATATATGAGATCTCAGTGTCTTTCACACAATTATTAAACTCAAAAATTTTTCTCATGGGCTATTTATAGACTAATAGATTTTGGCTCCTACAAGACCCAGTGTGACCTTGTCTATAGAGCAGGCCTGAGAATGTCACCCAGGGATACTAGCTGGGAAAGCAATTCTTTCTGTCTTTTTTTAATTTTTTTTTCTACTCAAATGAAAAGCAAACTAAGGAGGCAGGATCCTGAACTGACTTAATATAGCTTCTTAATAAAATGTGCTTGCATTGACCGTGTTGATACCAAGGGAGATATTCAAAGCCTTCAGGCACAGCTATGTACATGTGTGGGTTGTGCCTGGGCAGAGCAGGAAATGCCARTGCCCCTCAAGCTGGGCATCTTGAAAACCAGCCTGTTAGGTTAGCTCCTGAACGTGGATTTCCACCTACTCTTCTCCAGCTGATGCGCTCTAAAAAGTTAGAATAAAAAAAAAAAAAGCATCCTCCCAGAAGAAGAACAGCTTATTTTGGAGAAGTTGATTTTCCTGCCTGACCTACTCTGTATATAGAGATTTCCTCCTTTGTTTCTGACATGCAGAAAAACTTGCAGCGTGGTTGGATTTGAGGTTTTGAAGCTTCAGGAGGGAAGTTAAATTTGACGTCTGCTTGGTGTAGTGCGTGTGCACCTGGAAGCACCTTGCCTCTGTGCAGGCAGGAGAGGCTTCAGTGGGGCTAGAGTTGCTTCCCCACCACTGTAGTATATGCCCTTCGACCAGCTCCATGCACCTATGACCACAAGAAATTCCCTTGGTGAAGCCTTCCTTGCCAAGAGCTCCTCCAGAAACAGAGGGAGCAAGGTTTTCAGAATTGGAAAGAGTTGTTCTAGCTCACCAACCTGGTGAGAGAAGGCAAGAGAAGAATCGAAAATGTCTCTCTTATCAAGAAAACTCAAGCCAGAACGAAGTAGTACATCTAAAACTAAAAGGGAGAGTGGGGGGAGTAAGGGCTGTCTGCTGCCAAGAGCATGTCTCTTCATTGACAATTCCCTTAGTGTCCAGTAGGGAAAATGTAAGCATGACCTGCAAAGGAAGGAAGGAGGAATCAGCTTGTTTAGGTTTTGGTGA